TCTTCGGTGTGACGAATGTCTGAAGCCCTTATACCATCACGCCAATTCATTGGCCAAATAGCGCTTAGCACCGCCCCCAAAGCGCACGTAGGTGAGCTATATAGCGTGCTGCGAGTTATTTTCATCAGATTTCATTTCCTTCAGGAAGCGAATCATCTGTCGCCCGTAGGAAAGCGTTCTTTTGTCGTGTTCTTAGCTAATTCCTTCTATTACTCCTCTTACTCCTCTTCAGCGGACACGATGAGCTACAGGAGATGCATCGAGCCGTGTGACAGGTTCGGAGACACTCGAGACACTCATGACAGGTGCGTGCAATGTTTGGGCCTACAGCATGCCCAAGCGGCGCTTAGCGGCCTTTCTGATTGTCGACACTGTGATAGCCTACGGCTAAAAGCACTGCGCTCGAGGTTCGCGGCCTTCTCAAATAAAGTAGGCCTCGCGTCTAACCCCCGCTATCCCGTTTCTGCGGTTGCCGAGGCGCCGCACGAGACGGTCGCAGGCGCCGCACGCGCCGCACGAGACGGTTGCTTGGGGTGACGCATGCGAGCCGAAGCGCTTAGAGGGTGAGTTCTCTCCTTTCTCTCCTTTTCTCTCGCTCTCTCCAGGCCATGTGCAAGCGCTCGAGGAGCGCTACGGGGATCCCGTGGTCTTCGTCAATGATAATTTGCGGTCTACCCCGGAAGCTCGCGATGCGATGTCTTTTGGTTGTATGCCGTATGATGAAGACGTGCTGTCCACAGCAGCCTCCGATTCGGAGGATTTATTGGGCGAACTGTGAGCCGCACTCCGTCTCAGCCCCGTAGGCCTCTCCCCTTCTTCCAAGACCTCCACCACGAGGTTTCAAGGTCTTGGAAACAACCTTTTTCAGCGCGCATCACTAATCCTGCTGCCGCTGATTTCGCCACGGTTTCTAAAATGGCAGATCACGGCTACGCGGCGATGCCAGCCGTAGAAGAGACTCTCGCGGCACATCTCGCTCCAAATTCCGCTCCGTCTTGGAAGTCACGCCCTCTGCTGCCGTCCAAGAAGCGGCGCTTAGCGGCCTTTCTGATTGTCGACACTGTGATAGCCTACGGCTAAAAGCATTGCGCTCGAGGTTCACGGCCTTCTCAAATAAAGTAGGCCTTGCGTCTAACCCCCGCTATCCCGTTTCTTTGCGGCCTACCCCGGAAGCTCGCGATGCGATGTCTTTCGGTTGTATGCCGTATGATGAAGACGTGCTGTCCACAGCAGCCTCCGATTCGGAGGATTTATTGGGCGAACTGTGCAGTTCTCTCCCTCCGAGTGGACAGGAGAAACGCACTTCCCCGTCTTACAGCGAACTATTAGACGTTGTAACGCGCGCTGTGGATAAGCTGGGGTTAGAGTGGGAAAGCGAGCCGGCGCAAAATCAGATCCAGTTGAAACTGGACGATCGATTTTTGTCCAGCCGCACTCCGTCTCAGCCCCGTAGGCCTCTCCCCTTTTTCCAAGATGTTCCCAAAGCGATGACGTCATCGCAGCATCGAAGTGAGCCTATGAGAGGGAACATCTCGGTTACGTATGTAACCTTGGTTCCCTGAATAGGGGAACGAGATGCTGCGATGCTGGGCCGTTCCGTACCTTGATAGCGCTTCCTTCGTAAATCAGTGGAAATCTGATGAAAATAGCGCGCAGCACACTATATAGCTCACCTACGTGCGCATTGGGGGCGGTGCTAAGCGCTATTTGGCCAATGAATTGGCGTGATGGTATAAGGGCTTCAGACATTCATCACACCGAAGATGTTCCCAAAGCGATGACGTCATCGCAGCATCTCGTTCCCTATTCAGGGAACCAAGTTTACATACATAACCGAGATGATAAAAGCAGCGATGTAAAGTTTGTTCGCGCTACAGCGCCACTCGTTGGAACAAGTAGCTCATTACCTCAAAAAACCTGCAGTACTTTGCAACCAGCTACTTTATTCATCATTTTGAAAATTGGACATGTATTTAAAAAGAAGTATAATATAATATATAATATTCAGCTCATATTATATCTCTTTTTTGTTTCTTTAGGTACAGCGTCATGGCAATGGATGCTTGAATCTGAAGTTGGCTGATTTTGGATTAGCCATGGTGGTAACGGAGCCAGTGTTCACAGTCTGTGGCACACCTACATATGTTGCTCCAGAGATACTTGCTGAGATAGGTAAAGTCTGTACATTTAGATGAGCTGGGACTGGTTGGACACAAAAAAAAACAAGCTACAGCTCTGTCCAAAATCTCAAACACTAAGGTTTAAAACTATTAGTAACATGATCTGACACTAACATTTGACATGATATTTCAAATGTTCAGCTATGCATATGTATATGTCTATGTATGAACAGGTTACGGTGTTGGAGTAGACGTTTGGGCGATGGGTGTCATACTGTTTGTCCTGCTGAGCGGGTTTCCTCCGTTCCGCAGTCCAGATCGTAATCAAGAGGAACTATTCCGTCTCATCCAGAAAGGAGAAGTCCACTTTCTGTCCCCTTACTGGGATAATGTATCTGAGGGTGAGATACTGAACTCCAGCATTTGACCCCCATACAAATAAAGTGATTTAAAGGGATCATATGATGCTGCTAAAAAGAACATTATTTTGTGTATTTGGTGTAATGAAATGTGTTTATGCGGTTTAAAGTTCAAAAAACAAGGCTTGGTTAACTCTTAACATAAATAAAGAATATCTCTTTGGTTTTGAGACTTTAGTGTTTGCAACTTTACAGATCTTCTTTATGCACCAAGAGCTTGTAACACTCCAAAGAGAAAGGAAAAATTGAAATCGCATCATATGACCCCTTTAAGTGTTAGATCAATCAAAAAAGTAAAGTCTATCATCATTTACTCAATCCCATATTGTTTTTAAACTCGTATGGCATACTTTCTTTCAAGAAGCTCCATTACAGTTTGCACCAAGTCATTACAATTTGTGCACTTTATTCAACGGTGGAGTAAATGAGAGAATTTTCATTTCTGGTTGAACTATTCCGTTTAACCCTTCATATATTCTGTAATTTAGATGCTGTAATCTAGAAATATGATAAGTGCTGATGTCTGTGTTTTCCAGGGGCTAAAGCTCTAGTCAGGGCTTTGCTGGAGGTCAACCCGAAAAGGCGTTTGACAGCTAGTCAAACCCTGCAGCACGACTGGCTTCAGCATGCAACAGCACAAAAAGACCATAAGGGGGCGATAAAGGCCACTGACTCCACAGCTGAGAGGCGCAACCAGCAGAAACTGAGCAGACAGGTGGAAAGTGGTGAAAATAAGAGTGATTCTAGCAAACCAGAATTGTTGGCAGAGAAATGTCATGCAGCACAAATTTACGAGAACATACTAAATAATAATAATTATGAACCCGATATTAACATGCATGACAGAGACCAGCAAATTCAAGAGATTCATAACATGACAAGCAATCAACAAAATGCAGAAGACACCACCACGAACAAGCAATATACCACAGATCAGCACAAACCTGAGAAACCAGCACAGCAAGAAGACACTGACACAAAACAAGAGTGACCTGCTGAGAAATGAGTTAGTTAGCGGGCAGTGAAGACTGAAGAAGCCGCAGCATAAACAAGTGACTAGAAGAAACCAATGATATATGAAAAGACTAAAAGAGTCAGAACTAAACAAGCCATGCGAAACATAACAAAGTGGGACGGTACACCTGAGGAAAAAAAAGAACAAATACTCCATAGTAAATAACATCTAGTGTCTTCTCATACTCTCAAGCCTACACGTATACTCTTAGCACTGATTCTGACTGAGAATTCACTGTTTTTATCCTGATCACCAGGCCCTGATGAAATCTGCACTGATCTGCACATTTCTGCACTCATTATGGAGGGAAATCTGCTGAATTAGTGTAAATATGGTTAAATGTATTCAAAGGCGCTTATAGTGCACTCTTCTTGGCAGCTTAATGTATAATCCAATATTTAAAAAACAAATTAGAATTTCAGAATTCTGTATAAATTCTGTGTGTGCTTACAGGTCAATAATGAAATGATCTGGGACATTTAAGTAACTATTATTACGAGACATTATTTACTGACTACAGACAGTAGTAAGGACAATTTATGTTGTATTGTTGTTTTTGTATGTAAAAACCTCTGATTATTCTGTATTTCATCTTAATCTGTGTTATTTTAAAAGAAAGGCATTTCATTTTTAATATGTATCAAAAATGTATCGGTCAAGCTTGGCCTCTGCCAATGTTTGTGGGAATGTTAGTTGGGTTGACTAACTAGTAATAAGCTAAAAAGTTGTTTTTCAAATCAGAGGTCTTTTTGAAACATTTTGAGTACTGTATAAATGTTAAATGTTTTAGACTGTAGGCTAAGACAATTAATGTTTATTAGCTGTTCGTTACACGTTTCTATAATTTGGTGAGTAAAATAATGTTGTTATGATAAAAATGTTTATTTTCTTACTTCTGTTCACCTTTTGTTTTAACACTTACAATTTTTGAGATATCAAGTTGTTCAGAGTAATTATTAATGAATAAAGCCTTTGTCCTTGTCAGGTGACTTCAGTCTTTCAACCTTCATTGTGGTATGTCTCAAAACAAACCCAAAGTTGTGAAATGTGCTATTTTAAGTGTACTACAGTTGTAATGTGCAAATAACAAATTATTAATCTCAGCTTCATTACTAATACCTTATGTATTACATTGCTGTATGCATATTATAAGTCATATTTTTTAGTATCCAGTCCAGTAATCAGGAAGACACATACAAACACACTCCCATCCCATCCCCCCAGTGAAACACACAGCTCATTCAAACTGGGCAGTCAAGACTGACAGCTGTCTCGACCAAGCTAGTCCATCATAGACCTCGACATTTGATTGGCTGAGGCCGTTTCCCCTCCCCCCGGGGCTCACTCTAGTTTCGGGTCAAAATAAAATGAAAAGGAATAAATAAAAATAAATTAAAAGACCACACTTGACATTTTTCAAACCTACATACCAAATCAAATAATTTACTCAGGTCTTGCATTTACTATTCTGTCAAGTACGATCATTTTGAATGATGCCCCACGATGACGTTGCCATTTTGTCGCATATGAGGGGTGTTAGGGGATTTTGACCAAGGTATGAAAAGGTTTTGTCATCTATTAATCTTACTTTAAAATATAATCACCACGACAATAATACGACAAAATAGCACAGCAAAATTGAAAATAACTGTACTAACAAAACCAAGCATCCCGCTATTCAAATAACAAAAGTTTTTGGTCACCTTTCTCTTAAAAAAAGCTTCAGCCATGACCCGCAGGAGGCCGATGCGCATGCGCAACGCATAGCTCTTTAAATATCCCCCGTCATCTGATGAAGCACAACATGTGTTGCAGCCAATCAGACAGCGCGAAAGAGAAGGGCAGAACGGCCATCATTACTAGTGGCGACGCATTCACTGACAGATCAATAACGGTCGACGGTATTCGCCTGATCTTCACCCCGCTCCGAGTAAACCGAGCTCGGATAGGCGGAATCAGAGAGGGACAGGCGGACAGGGGGAGAGGAGGAGACAGACAGGAAAAAAACAAAGATGGCAGTGTAGCTTAAGGGAAGGACTATCGAAGAGACTCTGCAGTAAACATAACTTTTAGGCTTTCGGGCGAATCCGGATCGTGTCGGAGTGGTTCGGTTGTGATCGGAAGGTGGACCGGAGGAGAAGAGCCCGGCTGGGTCGCGGAGAGTCGCTGTGCGCGTGCTGTCACGGCGGATAACGGCACTAAACAACAGCCTGTTGTTTTGTTGAGTCTTAGCTGTTTTTTTCTCCCTCTGCACAAGCTGAGAGCTGAAGCTTACCTGAGATCTATCCAAAAAATACAGGCATCCATGCACGCCAAACCGCAGTAAAACACAGATGAATATCTATTCACTGTCCCATAACTTAGTGTCATATTACCCAAAATTTACCTATTTGAACTGACGCTTGATGGTTTAACTGAGTGCATTGTTGGCTGTCCAGACCCCCCATCATTACAGGCCAGCCAAGTAGCTTGAAAAATCCTGGAAATCTCACCCTGACAATCAGCGGATCCTGTGCTCGGTCAGCCCAAATATCCCCGGAGACTCAGTCGGATGTCTTCGATGGAAGAGCGGATGGAATTAGGCGTTGCGGCCGCGCCAGGCTCCTCATCATCGGGTCTGGGTGTCGGTCCTGTGGGGGGCGCCCTGGACGCTGGCCCGGGGAGCGCCGGACTGGCGGGTATCCAGGAGGAGTCCGGTGTGCGGAGAGACGGTTCTGGTTCTGAGGCCGACCCGGACGCGCCGCCCAAGAAACGCGTGAGGCAGCAGGAAGGAGAAGCGGGGAAGCTCGAGGAGCGCCTGTACTCGGTGCTGTGCTGCACGGTGTGTCTGGACCTGCCTAAAGCCTCGGTGTACCAGGTAAACAATGCCATTATGAAGCTTACAGCGCAGAGAAATCCTTATGTACGATGTACGAACACAATGCAGATATAAAAGTTCATAATAACACAGCATCCTCTTGGAATGTAAGATATATACAGTCCGTTATTATAGATATGAGACAAAGGGGGTTATAATTGTGAATCTTTTTGCCATTGTGATTGTTTGTCTATTGTTTGTCTATTTCTAAACAATATAGGTGATTACACAATGTCTGTGACTCATAATGTGTGATTAAATGTCGAATAAAATGCTTATTCACACATTTGCCATTTCAGGTACATGGGTTATTTTTTTTTTTTTAAAGAGCTGGTATGAAGTTATATTTTTTAGGCTTCAGATGTTACACTCGGATGTAATACTGACCTGAGCAGCGTTTTTTTTTTTGCCTTCAATGGCAAACATGACAATTAGGGTGGTCACATGACCTGTTTAACCCAATCACTGCTGGCCTCTCCTGATCACCCCTCCCCCAAATATGCACCCCCATATAATATCCATCTGATGCCACAGGCCAAACATGCTGTAAAAGAACTTCCTCTCATGCTTTCACACACTTTGTTGTGGTGTTTGCATACCCTTGTTAACATTTTGTGTCCATTTATTAATCTAATGTGTTTGGATAATTGAATAAATCCACAATACAGTGGTCTTTTTGTTTGAGCATGTGTCAATGTGATGATTGCGGCACTGACAGGCCTATATTGAAACTAGAGAGGAAGTTTTAGACATACAAATGAAACCGTGCATGAGATACACCGGCATCCTCTCACACTGACCCCTAAAAGTAGCATGTGATTCAGGGAGGATGTGTCACACTGCATCAGCGCTATTAAGCTCATGCCATGTAATCCGTTTATTACTGAATCAGGGTTTGAATCCCATCAAATGAGGCGAACATGTGCACACCCTGAAGCAAAACAAACAAGCCAAGAAGAACTCAAATCAGCTGCTCACTGAATTAATCAAACACAGACTTGACATTGCAGTTTACCTCCTGTGATATAGATCAGCTGGTGAATTAGTAACAGCTTACTAACAGTTATTCAAAGGAAACTTTGAATTAATCATGAAACTAGAATAGTCAGTGTAATTGTAGTTAACTAAAACTAAATATATTAAAATAATTTCTGTTAATTGAAGCTAAAATATATATTTTTTATATGAAAAATTTAATGAAATTTAGAATATTTGTTTTGGTGACTAAAATAAAATAAGTTGAAGTATTAAAATGACTAAAACTAAAATTAAAATAAAGCTAAATAGAAATATTTTTAAAAACAAAAACTAATGAAAATGACTAAAACTTTATAAGTAAAATAAAAACCCAAAATATAAAAAAGCTAATTTAAAATAAAAGCTGTTTTTAATTGAGTTGATTGGAGCATAAAATGGAGGAAGTATTGTATTCATTAACAAATTATGTTTTTGTTATATGTATTTTACATCATCCTTGTTACGTTGCATGTACTTACTATAACAGTAAATTAAGCATAATTACATGCAAGTAACCCTAAACCAAAGCCTAATCCTACAGTAAGTACAAGCTGTTAATTGATATTACTCAGTACTTAAAAGTGTAATTACACTGTAACAAGGACACCTTGAAATAAAGTATAAACTGAAATTGCTATGTTAGACACAAATGAGATAAAAGCAATTGACGACTTGTAAGAGTACATTTTTATACAAGGAATGAAAGGTTTTGAAACTGATTTCATAATAACTCTCTCTTACCCTAAATAGGTCTTTTTTTTATTATTCATAATTATTATTCTTTTTCCCATTAAGATCCACTTAAGCAAAAGTGCTAAGCATTTTCTCTGTGCTGAAATGCTCTGCACATACTGTTAATTTCGGACTGAAATGAATTGGGTTCTTGCTAAAAAAAAAAAAAACTTCAGCGACTCTTTGATAATCTTTGGGATCTTTATGGAAGTGTATTCAGAGCAGAAGGCACCACACACTGGGGGAACAGCCCAAGGTTTGACAAGCATTTTTTACATTTTTTTTTTTTTAATTTATTTTGATTATACTTAGTTGTGTTTAGGAATAATAATTACCTTATTACCTCACAGTGACTTGGCACCCAGTAGGCTTCACTGATGTGTAAACGTGGACGTCTATGTGTTGATGCATTTCATTAGTGACGTCACAAAGTTTTCATAGTATGTAATGCTTCCAAGTAAAATGTCTTTCCTTGTGATATGATCTCTTTAAAGATGAGCATGCTGTCATTGCCACATTACATTCA